CTACATTCAGGGATCCTCAGGGACTACCACATTGGCACTGTTACGATGCCCTACATTGGCTAAGAACATGGTCAGGATACTCCTAGTAAGACTTGGATGATCCTCCCACTCTCGAGCTAGCTTTTGAGAATGAGATAGGCCTAGTCCATTTTGTTATATAGTACTAGAGCCTATACTGTCTTAATGTTGGGCCACCTGCAGATGTTCATTTGTACAATCTTCATGCACCAAATGTCTAGTCTTCAGTGTGAGAGGATGTATTAAGCAATCCTCTTCCCTCAAGTTAGCTTTTGGGAGTCAGTCCCAACTCCCCAATCCATTTCTAATAATTACAAGGACACCCACACAAGTTTCCCATCACTAAAAATTACAAAATTATCCTTTACACATTTATCTATTTGTGTGCACCATTTCTCTTACTCATTATTTAATGGGTAGGAATAGGGTACTCCAAGAGTAACTCTTGTTAAATTTACTCCATTCAATAACTTTTTATATACACTACCTCCAATCCTTATTATAGAACCCAAATAACTAATTCACTAAGAATATTAAGAAAAATTAGTTTTTGTTTGTTACAATCAATAAATGTCTTAAATTTCTACTTCTTTCCAAAATTACCCCTAAATTAACAAGACACACAGTATATGTTTCCAAAGTTTTTGCATTGCAAGATAAAAAAAATAAGACTATTTGTATTTTAAAAGACATAAACTAAATGAATTCCACTTACTTTCTGAACTTCATAAATGCATTTAATAAGAGTACTTTTGTAAAGAAAAAAATTAATGTTTGAAACATAATAGATTTGGTCTTATAAAAGGACCAAACTAATTTGAAAATTTGGGTCCTATTATAAGGACCAGAGGTGGTACTAAATTTTGATGGTCAGTTGAATATTTTGATATTATCTCAATGACCATGCATATCATTTTAGATAAATTGAATATTTGTAGGTAGCTAATCATATAGTCAACATGTAATTGCCTTTTAGAAAAAAGTATATTTATATTATACATTAATTTGACTTTATTTAATGAAGTATCAAATAATTTCCAAACTTTATAAATATTTGTAGCCATAATCTACTCATTAAGAACTTTTAAATTAAAGGTTGGATCATTGAAACTTAATAAATATTAAGAATTATTAAGAGGTAGGAATTAGCAATGGGGAAGAACAAAGAAGTGGGGACAAATCTCCAAAAACACTTATAGGAGAAAAACTTCTATAAATTAGCTTATGCATAAGCTAATTTTAACTAGTGCAGAAGCTAAATTCATTTGTCTCTCTTATTTTCTTCTCCTATAAGAGTTTTTGAAAAACTTTATCCAAACATCATGCCCAAAGAATGTTTATTACTTCCCACACAGGTAGCATCCCTAAGTAATAATATGATGATGCATGATATTAACAAATTCAATTTAGAAATTTACAAATGCATAAAGGTGATAGCTAATCACAAACACCTACCAATTCTAAGAAACAACGCAGGCAGGCATATTACAGGCACTTGAAAATACTATTACAAGAAATTAAACAAGTTTTGCTAGAAGTGAAGGGTAGCAACAAGGGTTCTTACAGTAAGCACAGAAGCTGGAACTGCCAAGACAGTCAAAGGAATGTAAGCAACAGCCCTGAAAAATCACCAAGCAAATAAAGCATTCAGAAATTACACCTACACAATAGTTCCCTTCCACAAAACAGAAAACATAAATTGAGCGATAAACGGAGGGACGCACAGAACGATTGGGCCCCAGGGCCCAAGATCATGATCGACCCACAATAAGAAGTCCTTCATCATCTGCAGAGGGAAAATGCGAAACGATTAGAAAAGCAAAGAAAAAAACCTAAGGAAGGAGCAGGGAGCGAAAGCGAACCTTCTCGATAGGGAGCGTGAAGCAGGCGGTGATAACCGCGGCGATGAGGAGGAGGAGAACGGCGATCCTGAGGGCGGAGGCCCAGGAGAAAGACATTGTTAACCTGCGACGCCAAGGCCTGCACTCCTCCTCCTCGTCGTTCAGATCAGCCGAAGCTTGCTTCAACGAAGACCGAGCCCTCAATCCCACGAGATTTGCCAGATTTGATCGATGCCGTTCTGTCAAAACGACCCGCCGTTTAACGCACCGATTCAGATCAGGTTAGATTAGAATTAGATGTTAGTAGTGTTTTGTTTTCTTTTCTTTTCTTTGTTTCTCTTTTCTTTTCCGTGGAAACGAAACTGTGTGTTGCTGCCAACTATTTTTTCGGAAAGACAGGGACTGCTGTTGGCTACTTTTGTAAATTGGCGCAACCCACTCCTGCTTATATGCCATCACCCACGTCTTAATATATCCCTACCTTTATTTATGTTTTTAAACTTAATACCACATTTAATGAATTTATATTACTTTACTCTATTGTCAAATTAAAATTCTAATTCGAAAACACCACTAACTATATTTATATAATTGTATTTAATTTTTTTTAAATTAAGGTTTTGCGTTTATTTATTAAATTGATAATAATAAATATTTTAAGTATAAATGTAATGATCCATCTTATCATTACATTTATTATAGTCCAACAATTAAGCAAAAGTACAAACATCAAATATCTACCTAGAATATCATGTAACAAGTAGATAAATTTCATGTGAACTGTCATATATGTAGGAAATAAAATAATTGTTCTAAAACATATATACATACTTCATACAAATGAAGCAACTATTGTATACAAAATAAACTTAATTGTTGGTTAAACATTTATACAAGACTTAGCTACCTTGGGATAATAACATCTAAAAAAGGGTCACCTCTAGCATAACTCACCACAGAACAATATAATTCGGTCTACTAATTCTATCTTACTCCTGTATTAAGTATGATTATAATAATCACAAACCATAAGAGAAAACACTGAGTAAACTCGTGAAATAGAAACAATGTCATACCAACAATATTCAACACAAACAAACTTAAATGGCATCCTTTAATACATCCTATAATAATTCTACAATACAACTTAAAACACTTGACCAACTCATACAACTTAGCAATTTCATTATAGATATCGTATAAATGATAGTCATCAAACAACATCACACTCATAACTTTCACCATATAACAACGTATACATCTTTACACCTCAAATTTAACCCCTTTCAATATGCACATATACATATCACTAGGCAGCATGAACATTTATGTCATCAACACATCACAAACAACATAGCACAACACAAACACTCGTTTGGTTATCATCCACCTCACACCTTTAACAAAACAACATAGATTATATATATATATATATATATATATATATA